ACTATGTAACTGTGGCTGTCTTTCAATTCCTTACCCTCCTCCCTTCTGCCTACTGGTAGGAATACTGATATGTTTCACTATACTAGGCTAAGCCATCTATATACGTGAACACCTTAGAAAGTCTTCATATACCCTTAAGGAATATTAAGAATGTACCTCAGACTTTAAGACCCTGCTCTTAAATATGATAAACTATAAACTATAAAAGAAAAAATAATTAAAGATTTGACTGTATTAAAATGTAAAATTCTGCATAAGAAAGATACATAAACAAAGTAAAAGCACAAGATATTTATAGCACGTTAGAGACTCATGGTTAGCATCCAGAATAAGAGCATCAAAACAGAAAAATGTTAAAAGACAAACAACCCAATCAAAAGTGAGCAAAGTGTATGGGCAGAAAATATACAGAGTGAAATATGGCTACCATAAAATGTGTTCAGCCCTACTAGTAAGCAGGGAAATGCAAATTAAAACAATAAACTGAAGATAAATGAAAGTATACATCCACAAAGAATGATGGCATGGGCCAGCCAGGTGGCTCAGTGGGTAAAGGCACTTGCTGCCAAGCCTGATGACCTGAGTTTAATCCCTGAGACCCACATGGTGGAAGGAGAGACCCAGCCCTCACGAGTTGATCTCTGAGCTCTACATCCAGGCAATCTGTGGTGTACACATACCCATGCATATGAAAACACATGAAATAAATGAGTTTTTACTAAAGAATGGTGAACAGCTTCACTTATAATACCTAAAACCTAAAAGTAGAGCAGTGCCCATCATTGGAAAAGTGGATGAACAAACTGGAATATTCATAAAGTGGGATTCTATTCAACAGGAAAGGGGAACAAATTACTGATAGATGTGACAACCTGGACAAATCTTGGAAAACATATTGAATGAGAGAAACTATCCACAAAACAGTACCCAGTATCTGGATCAGGAAAAACCAGTACATTATCTAGAAAAAGTGAAAGCAGATAGTGAATGCCTATAATCCCAGGGTTTAGCAGGTAGAGGCCTTGAACATCAGGAAGGAGTTCAAGATTACTTTTAACCACAGAATAAGTTCCAGACCAATCTGGACTATAGGAGACCCTTTCTCGAGAAAACAAAGTGTCTCTAGTGACTCAGCAGTTAAGAGTGCATACTGCGCTTGCAGAGGATCCGGGTTTGGTTTCCAGCATTCAAAATGGGTAGCTCACAACCATCTGTAAGTGTAGCTTCAGAGGATCTGATACCCTCTTCCCGTCCCCCTGGGCATGTACATGCATATACTCACACTCACACACACACACATACATAGATAAATATGTATAAAACTAAAAATAATACAAATAAATAAATCCAAAAAGCTAAAATAAAAATAGTAGTTGCCCAATGGAAGTTGAGTTAGTGAATTTTCTGGAAGCAATGAGTGTGTATGTGTGTGTGTGTGTGTGTGTGTGTGTGTGTGTGTGTGTGTGTGTAGAGAGAGAGAGAGAGAGAGAGAGGGGGGGCGGTATATATGTATATGTAATGGTATATAGAGATCTATTGATATAATATATATATATATATGTATGTATATTTTGGTTTTTATCGAGATATGGTTTCTCTGTGTAGCTTTGGAGCCTATCCTGGCACTCACTCTGGAGACCAGGCTGGCCTCGAACTCATAGAGATCCGCTTACCTCTGCCTCCCTAGTGCTGGGATTAAAGGCATGCGCCACCAATGCCTGGCTATATAGATTATAATGTTTAACAGCATATAGATATAGAATATTTCATATAGTTCAGGCTGACTTCAACCTCATTATGTAAAATAGGATGACCTTGAACTCCTGGTGCTCCTGTCTCTACACCCTACATGCTGGATTATAGGCTTGCTCTACCACATCTGGCTTTTTGTTTATTTGGAACAAGATCTTAAGGTTCAGACCAGGTTGGCCTTAAATTTGTGATCTTTCTACCTCAGCCTCTAGAATACTGGGATTGCAGGTGGAAATCACTATAACCAGCTTTACTTTATACTTACATTTGGGGATAAAGTATACTAATGTTTGTTATAGTAGTACATACCTGTAATCCTAGCACTCCAGTGGCAGTAGGTACCCAGGCTAGCCAGGGTTACTTAGTGAAACCCTGTCGTAATTGGAAGGAGGGGCTGAGAGTGTAGCCCAGTTGGTAGACTGCTGGCCTAACATTAAAAAAATCAGGGGTCCCCACCCTAGCACAGTATAAACTGGTATAGTGGTACATACCTATAATCCTAACACTTGGGAGGCACAGACTGAAGGATCAGAAGTTCAAGGTCGTCTGTTGTTATATAGCTAGTTTGAGGCCAGCCTGGGTATGTGAAACCCTGTCTCAAAACAAAACAAAACAAAACAAAACAAAACAAAACAAAACCCCACCACAGATATTTATAATTTGCTTTGAATTATCTAACAAAATTAGGTAGGCTGAATTGTGTTTAGTGGGGTTGCATATAAAAGCAAGTAAGACAAAATTCCTATGTACAAATTTTATATATGTCTAAAATTTTTGTAGTAAAATACCGAGGGAAGAAGTGATGAGCTATGAGCTCACGCCATTGGAGTGGCAGAAACAAAACCCAACAGTACAAAGCATTGATGGTACAGTGAAATGTAGTGGCAAAGCTGTCTTGGAAAATAATTTAGCAGTATCTGCTGATGCTGAAGGTGTTCGGACTTTATGGTTTGCAAACTGCATCTCAGCAAGACAAAACGCCAGCCCACAGAATGGGAAAAGATACTCACCAACCCCACATCTGACAGAGGGCTGACCACCAAATATACAATGAACTCAAGAAGCTAGCCACCAAAACACCCAACAGTGTAATTAAAAAGTAGAGTGCACGGGCATTGGTGGCACATGCCTTTAATCCCAGCACTTGGGAGGCAGAGGCAGGTGGATCTCTGTGAGTTCAAGGCCAGCCTGGTGAGGGTCAGGACAGTGTCCAAAAAGTAGAGTGCAGAACTAAATGTAGAATTCTCAACAGAGGAATCTAAAAATGGCTGAGAGACACTTGGGAAAGTGCTCAACATCCTTAGTCATCAAGGAAATGCAGCTCAAAACCACTCTGAGATACCATCTTACTCCTATCAGAATGGCTAAAATCAATAACACCAATGACAGTCTATGCTGGAGAGGGTGTGGAGAAAGAGGAACACTCCTCCATTGCTGGTGGGAGTGCAAACTTGTACAACCACTTTGTAAATCAGTATGTCGGTTTCTCAGAAAAATGGGAATCAGTCTACCTCAAGATCCAGCAATTCCGGTAGGGGGCATATAATCAAACAATGCACATTCATACAATAAGGACATATGTTCAACTATGTTCATAGCAGCATTATTTGTAATAGCAGAACCTGGAAGCAACCTAGATGCCCCTCACTAGATGCCAGTCAACTGAAGAATGGATAGAGAAAATGTGATACATTTACATAATGGAGTACTACTCAGCAGAGACAAACAATGGAATCTTGAAATTCACAGGCAAATGGATGGAACTAGAAGAAACCACCCTGAGTGAGTTAAACCAATCACAAAACGATAAACATGGTATGTACTCACTCATTTTTGAGTTTTAGACATAGAGAAAAAGATTACCAGTCTACAATCCACACTGCCAGAGGAGCTGGGAAACAAGGAGATCCCAAGAGAAGATTGCATAGTCACATGAAGAAGGGGAGGGGGACAAGAACCCCTGAACAAAATGGAAGGGTAGGAGAGGAAGGAGGTGGGAAGGGAAGAAGGGGAGGGGGAGGAGAACAAGAGGACTGAGACAGGGGAGGAATAGAGGAGGGCAAGAAAGGAGATGCCTT